GAAAACGAAATGTAACCCATAACAAAAATATACAAAAACATTTTTCGTATTACTATTTCCAATTCGCGATGCTGACGTGAATCGTACCGATCTCGAATGTTTTATATTTATTTAGAGTCCTATAAGAAAAAAACAATTTCGAATATTTTCAAAGTGATTATTTACTTAATATTAAAAACCTTTCTAGTCCTACACTTCTCATTATTGTTTTCTGAAAAACTATAAGCTTAGATAGTAAATAAAGTTTTTGATTATTGTTATAATGTGTATATTAAGCATTACATTAAAAATAAATAAACATTGTTGCTAAGCTATGTAAGCCTTATTGTAAAACTACAAGACACTGTGTGAGACGAAAGAATTCTGATTGAAGATGGCTAATCTGTTTGGAAGCTTTTAATGCTAAGTATTAAACGCAGAAATTAATTAATCAAAATAAACGTCATTATTATAAGAAATAACTATGTACTGATGATTTTAAGAATTAAATAGTGAACGATGATTTATCTTAACTTGTGACGACACGAAATATCTGTTGAGAGTCCCGAGTCTCCAAGGGTGACGTCAAACAAATATGCAATATCTTATTTGTTCGCTAATATACTCTGTGTATTAGTCAATGTGCTGTATAATCATTATTTATAGAATTATCTCGATGCTCTTTGTTCAAAGGTTTCGAGTCATAGCAATGAGTATATTGGGCGAATTGTAAATAGATCACGACACCGAGCGACTTGTAGCCCAATACATTTGTGTCTGACTGTACTGATATGAAGGGTACACGAAAAAAAGGGGCTCATCGACATTTTTGGTAAAATTCAACCTACCATCTTCATTTGATAAATTTCAAACATGCCATTGACGTGATTTATTCAAAACAGCTTAAAATGGGCTCAGTCCACAGTAAACCCATAAAATAAAAAATCCATAAATGACTAATAGGGGCCCATTGCAGCGCAAACACGGCTGGAATGTGCACATTACATGCGGAAGCGTTGAAAAAGGTGCTCATTTTCCAGTCCAATTCAAGAACGTGCCCATTGCGCAGCCATTTTGACCGATCTGTCATACTTTGGCGCGTTGACATTAGGAACGTCAAACACATTTTTAGATTTCGTGGTTCGTTCGATAAAGTTGTGCGTGTTCTTGCGAATTTCGAGTAGAAAAGTAATTCGATAAAATGGAAAGTGAAAGAAAGTATAGCTTTAATTAACTTATATATAACTTTTGCAAATTAATTATGTTTTATTATTTCCTGGTTACCTATAAACACTATATCAAAGAGGTAATAAGGGGCACATTGCAGCAATCATCCCCTTTTTGCTATGTTAATTTGTAAGTTACCTTAAAAAAAATGACACAACTTTGTTATGATTGAACATATTGTTAAAAAGGATGATTTCAGTAATGTTATAGACAAGTGAAATGTAGAATATACAGATAATAACTTTTAATTCTGGCTCTTTAATGAATAATTAAGGTTTAAACTTATAATTAGCCATTTTCTCTAATTAATCTTTTCGTTGATGAGCCCTTTTTATTCCTGTACCCTTCATATATTTTTGCGGCACTAGCTGATGAATAAAAATTTTACTAATCAGTAGTACTAGCACGACTTGCGCGAGAGCAACATAAAGGTCAGTTTATTACGCAAAATGTCTAGATTTGTAAGTTTAATTGAACTGCAATCTTGGTGTTATGTAATTTCCCGAACTCGAAAACAGCACCTCGCGTACCGTATTTAGTATTTTGCGATTAGAACAGACTAGACACCGGACTAGTGCAATTTTAAATACCATAGGGACGCCAAGCTATATCGTTTTGATAAATTCCATACCTACCACTAGATTTGGTAATCATTTGAAATAATAATTGGTTATCGTCCTCGGCTTTACTATACACAGTAAAGTCCAGTAAGTATATGTATAGGGCTACAAGAACACTCCCGTTAATATGCGGTAGAAATTTTAATAATGATTTGGACCAAAGAAGATTTTTTGACTCTACAACTGCTATGATTCGAAATTTATTTTTGTGATAATAATATGTAAACTATGTTTAGTGTAAGTTTAACCAAACTATATTAGAATGTTTAATAAATTACAGAATTGATGTTTTTTACGATTCTTCATTCTTATCTGGAATTCAAATGAAATTCAATTGTGATGAACGAACTTTTTATTTCAATTTTTATTATACCTAGTCGTGCTATAAATTGTATCCCTATACTTAAAAGATATGTCGGAATATTTATGGCACAACTAGGAACTGTATGTGCGTTATACATCTTTTTTCTCAACACTATTCAATTATTCATCGTACATCTGCTTTACAATACAATAACGAAAAACAACATGCAACGAGACGTTCTCAAAAATCATTGTCAATGATGAATTGTCAGTGATGAATTGACAATGATGAGAGCTCAGCATTAATTATTGTCAAGCTTTCTACAGGTCAACACATACCCATCAGTTTATAAGATAGTACGTATTCAATACTAAGCATCTCATAATTGACTTTCTTTCTGTGTTTGTTATTTGAAACGGTCTATGATTTCTGAGTACGTGATTGTCGAAAATCACTACATTCGCATATTTACAATCATAATTTAATATACATATATGAAGATTTAAATGTATATTTATATAACCGACGCCGTATCACCGAAACTACAAAATTATTATTGAATCTAATATTTCAACATTAATATAACGGATAAACGTTATTATTACTCGTTAACCTAATCATAAATTAATAACACAATTTTATAATACTTGGAAAACGTGAGCATCGATTAACATGACACTTATATTTTATCATTGTCTGACCTTTTAAGCTAGTCCACGCCTAAGACGAGCTCACACACCTAGCACGTGGTAGTGATCTGTCTCCACATACAATTGACAACACTGTCAACGGCGCGCAATATGCGTTGTATGACAGCACCTTAAATCAGCATTTACTACGGCATGCGGCATAGAAAAGAGCTATATTATCACTCTGGTCTGTCGTTCTACCTCTCATAATGCCCAATGCAGCATCAAGTACAAATTCAATAATTTTGGCATCTCGAAGCTGCTTCGTCGAAATAATCAAATTCTGAAAGACAGCTCCTTTTTTTTTCATTCTATTAGGGATCGTTTATACTCATCTTGTTATCTTTACACTTTACTTTTGGTTGAAATACTGCCTTTCTCCTTCGCTTAAGTAGATAATGAGCCAAGGCGCGTACTAGCTTAAATGTTCGTATAATTAGAACGGTTTAGGTCGAATTGACCACCTTAGGAAACCCATCCGTCCAGGTATACTATAGGGTATTATTTCTGACAATCGAGACTCAATTTCTTGATTGTTCTGGTATATTGGCAGGCACATAGACGGATTGCAAATTCACAGGGTGGAATTATCGCACAAAATTAAATTTAATACTGCACGGGCAGTTGATTTGTTTATTAATTCAAGTATAACTATATCCGACCTAAAACGCTACAAACTTACAGTCACTTACGTAACTATACTATACCTTTTTGTATTCAGTTTTACACAATTATATTTTTACTGTATGAATTGGATTCATATCTGTCCAGGGGCGCGCACATCATCTACACGCTGTACCGAATCAAACCCCGTAAAAAATGTTGTGTACTAAATATAATTTCTCATTTGTGTTAAACATAATCAAAAATAAACTGCTAATTAAAATACAAAAATTTACGTTATAGACCATATGTTTTACCATTTTGAGCAAGAATTCTTATTATGCCTTCTGTGTGAGCAGTAAGAATATATAAAAACATTGCAATTTTAATAAGCTCACTTATGAAATCAGGAAACCACATTTTTTTTCTGCACATTGGCTGTGAGATGAAAAATTGTGCATTATGCCAAACAAATTACTTAAACAGATATGATCGGTACCAAAAATACATGTGTGCACCCGGAGCAGTCACAAAATTTATTGTAATACAAATTTATATAATCGTATGAGGTACAGTAGCTATAGTACAACATTTTAATAAAAATAGATATCAAGAAGCCGACCACATGACAAGTAGTTGATTATTTATGGTTAACATTAGATATATTGTTGATATCTCGTACACATAAACTGCTTTTCAAAGTCTTGTTTTCCCAGGAAGAATTTGGAATTGTTGTTAAAACACTGAACATCCCGACATTAAGTTCCATCTTCAGGTCAACTCGGATGCTTTAAACTCTCATCGAACTAGTGCTGCGGAATGCACCTTTCGAGTTATGACAGAGTCACCGAATACAAACCGGTCATTCCTAATGAAAACTGCTATTAAATTTAAGCAAGTTTGATAGACTCATTAGCGTCATTATCTTTTCGTTTGTACTACGTGGAATGTTTGTGGTGTGTCGTATTTAGTAAAACGAGTTGTCACACATTTCCTTGAAACATATACTTAGTCTAACTGACCGCCGAGCCGAAGCGCAGTTACCGAGTCTACAAGAATATATACCTATACATATGTAATGTTTTTTTTTAATGGGACAGTATGGGAAATCCGAAACCATAAAAGATACAAGGAAACTGTCTTATGAACCAATGAGTCTTTTGTTGTGAAAACAATTTCGACATAGTCAATTTTTTGGTCAAACGTGTATTGTCCGTAAAATGAATAAAATTGATAAAATTTTTTTTAGTGCTGATCAACTCAATTTCATGAAGGAATCATTTCGTTGTATGAGACGAAAAGGATGGGACAACAGAAGTTGGCTAAATTTCTTAAAATATTTTTTCATACAAAATTAATAAAATGTACAATTTTTTTTAATGCTAACAGACTTAGTTTAATTTTGATCAATTTTAATCATTTTTATGGACAACTCACGCTTGACTAAAAAGTTGACTATGCCAAAATTGTTTTCACAAAAAAGATTGAATAGTTCCTAAGACAGTTTCCTTGTATCTTCTATGGCTTCGAATTTCCCCATACTGTCCCAACTAAAAATACACTCTGTATTTGGAACGTATCTATATGGTGCAAACAGCGAACTACCTCTTATTTTGCAAAGCCGTTGTTTTTGTCTCATTTCTAATTAACTAATTCTTTCTTATTTTCTAGACTCATGATTTTTTTTCCTTTCTTGGTCCTACTTATTGAAAATTTACAATTTATTTTCCAACTCTAAATTGGTAACATTGTTAGTATGCCTTGGTGATTCTTCTGTTGAATTTTACAATCATGTAAAAGTAGTCAATTACATCATTAACCCCACGTCTTGTGAAGATGTAAATGTAACTTATCATCTTTCAATGGCATATTTGTGATGATTTTCTGTTCTTAAATGTATCAAAATCATAATGAAAGAAATCTCTTGCCTACTATCGCTACATCTTGTGATAAATATTGGTTTCCAAATGATAAATATCTCTCACAAAATCGAATAGGCTCTCAATGTCGAATAATTTTAGACAGCATTACGCGTGAGGTGTATAACAGTGGTGTAATCTTTCATGGGAAATGAAAATTTAAACTATTTCTGAAAATTCCTTGAACTCTTAGAAATGGTACACTGGTTCGAACAACGAAGCATTACATTCCATTAACGACACTCAAATGGCTGCGCATCCTCATTACTGGCCAAATCAAACAACGGATTGTTACGGAACGAATACGTCCATGCAATGAATAGACACTACGTAATACAGAAAATTATAAATTAAATTGAAATATCGTATAAAAATTGGAATCGGAAATTGGATTGCGTCGAAACCAACGAAATGGGGATCTCAATGTTGAAATAAAAGTTACAAATTTTGACCTTAAATCACAACCGTCCCTAAAAAAGTTTGTAACTTTATGTACAGTCAACTAAAGGAGCCGTTGTAGGTGACCAATATACATATTTCATGATAACTTTACATTAATGACAAGGCGATAGGTACAACCCTAAATAAATATGAAATTTTTACCTTCATTTTACCGATTTCTTTTTACTTCTTTGTTTTACTTAACTTTCAAAGGCGTTCAAATTGTTTGTAAAGTTATCATGACGAGATGTTTACCTAAATAATCAGAGACTTTAAATTGACTGTATACACGCTGAAATTGCGCATAGTCTAGATCCTAAAAATGTTGTATTCTAAACAACTACGTTCATGCAGAGGAATTACACTATTATTACGGATCTTGGCTAGTGCTGTCGTCTTTTGCTTCTGGAAAGTAGCTCTGAGAATCGTCCTCGGCGGTAATGCAGTCAGTGTCTGAGGTAACGCACTTTGCAGTGGTTTGTCCGCCTTCTGCTTCTGTATATGGCTTCGCGTCTGTAGTTTCGGAGAGAGCGGTTTCATCCTTCTCTTCGATAGATGAATGCTCGTTCCGTAGGCTGGCACCACCACATTCGCCCGTTGGCCGCAGAACAAGATACATCAATAAGTCGGACAACGATATAATTCCTATTACTTTGTCCTCTTCGTCCACTACAACCAAACGATGCACCTGCAAGTGAAACCAGTGTTAATCACATGCGTTAGCGGAACTATATATATAATAATAATATAATATAATAATATAATTTTATGAACAAGTAATTGTCGAAATGTCTTTTTACATAAAAAAATAAGAACATTTCCGGTGAAATGAGTCCCCCAACGATATCAATTTCATTTCATAGAATTTCAAAAATAATTAAAACTTAGTAAAAATATAATAATTAGACCAACCTCAGCCCGTACAATTCTCTCCATAACATCGAATAATGTTTCGTCGAGCGTGCACTTCTGAACTCCTTCAAACCACTCATTCCGGTGCTCGTTTGCCATTTTCAATGACACGTCCAAATTGTTATATGTCTTCTCAGCAGCCAGATTCTGTGATAGCAAAGAAAATATTACAGTTACTGCGTAAGTTTAGTAAAATAGTACCTGATAAAAGCGGTAGCGGCAGGAGCGACAGTTTACGTAAGTTATGTTGCGCTGCACACGGGATAATATCAACAAGTTTTATCTGATGACATTTAATAACAAGATGATTGAAAAAAGTTCCAAACAGGTTGTCTATTCATATCAATTATCAATTAAATAGTTTTTTTAAATTATCGTTTCAAATAACAACAATTGTCTATAGTACCAGCACGCTATGACTGCGGTTTTGACGTTTGTCCGCTCATCAAGTTTCGTATTAATTCATAACTACGGCTACGTTGAAGAAGCCAATTGATGTACATTGTTGTCAATAGTGACGTGCAGTAAAATTTATGGAATGTATAATTTTATGACATAACTCGGCATTTGTTTTTGAATATTTTTTAAATGAAATTAATCCGATCGTCACTTATAGGATCGCTGGCCAACACAACTTCTACCTCCGGCAAACTCGCGTCAAAGCTCAATGCAAAACAAAGCAGTTTCGAATTGACGATATATTAAGTAAACATTTTTATTTTCGTTTTATTAAAACTTTTTAATCGGTTACCCCTTGAATACTAGTTATAAATTTAAAAACTTATAAACGCGAGTCGTATTTGATTATGTTTTTATCGATAGTTAATTGAGATTTGACCTCACTATTGTAATCTCGCTAAACGGCCATTACAGCGTGCCGGTACTGTAATTTGGTACGCACTTTTTCAACCTACTCAGTTCAGCAGTAGGCCTGTTACCACACTGCCTGACTTTGCTATTACTAGAAAAACAACGGCAGAGTAAGTAGTACATACATACATACATGCTGAATTCTCAACATTAGGTAAGGGTCTGAAAAGATTGTGACTTGTCAGAATACGATCTAGGGCACACAAAAAACTCATTCAAATTGATGGCCTTTACAGAACAGACCGCATTTTGAAATTTTCTAACGTGATCTCTAGGGTCATGACTTGTATTTTCGCCTAATTCGAGTATCGGTGTACTACGAACACGAATAATTAAATTAAATATTACAAGGGAAAGAATAACAGCTAGTCAGCTATGGACGAGACATATTTATCTCGAAAAACTTACATCTTACTTCTAATTTACTTATCAACAAGTGTTGGAAATTTAGTAAATCAAGCAAACACTGCAGTGACCAACGGCACGATTGGATACCTTGTGTGGTATTTTCTAGCTAGTGTATTTGTAGGCATACCCTTAGCGTACATGGAGTTATCACTCGGCCAATTCACTAGACGGAATGTTATCGATATTTGGAAAATACGCCCGTGCCTATCTCATATTGGGTACATCGTTGTAATATGGCAAATTATAATATTAGTTTACAATCACACCGTCGTCACCTACTTAATGCAGTACTTTTTAGTCAGTTTCCAAAAACCAATACCGTATCACACGTGTGGTCAGTGGTCATACCAGAATTGCAACATCATAGAAAAAAATTATACAGTGTACTGGGTATGCGTCAGAGGTAAACAAAAAAGAATGGACTTTTGTAATAATATTTACACCACATACCCCGAGTATCAATATTACCGTTCCAATGCAATGCAAACTCAAGAAAATGCAATTTCATTGAATTGGCGTATATATCTCACGTCCGGATTGGTTTTAGTCGTTGTGTACTTTCATAATTTTAAAAAGCTAAATTCTGCAAAGTGGTTCTTAATACCGTTCGCGTTATATCCTTACATGGGTTATTTTTACCTGTTTGTTGGCTCTATGCAACAAAAAGGCCTAATACAGAAATATGAAGACGCTTTAGATACTGGACTACAGAAATTCCGTCGGTCTGGTCGCATTACCCAGATAATACATCAAATGATTTACGGATTGGGCCTTGGCAACGGAGTGATGATAAATATATCGTCTAAGGCAGCCTTTCGAACTCCATGCTACGTAAACGCTGTGCTGTCGGTACTTATTTCCTTATTTTTTACTATAGTAGCAGTGTTTACAACGGCTTTGATGTCCTGTCCTATTGAGTACAAAAGCATAAACCCTATCTTGAGTCTTCCGATGTCATTTACGTTCGAGAAGGTCCCGATGATGCTTTATGAATACGATAGCAACGAGTATTTTCTTATAACTAATTACAGCGCACAAACTATGCTAGGTATAACCACGGATATCGTTATATTCTTCAGTTTATTAGAAATACTAACGAAAAAAGTACCATTATTTTCCAAATATCCAAGCGCTGCTTACGCGATCATGATCGTTGTGTTTTTCATAACTACAATTCCGACGATGGGCCCATTCGCTAGGCATGTCGTGGCCACGGGCTATTACAGAATCATGAATATAGTATCTACTTTTATCGTAATAACACAGTGCTTTTGTTTCATACTTTGGTATGGGTTCGAAAGATTTTCCGAAGACGTGCATTTCATGCAAGGCATTAAGCCTAATAATTACTTGAAGCTAAGTTGGGCAAGTGCAATTTTCGTTTTGGTCTACGTTATCTTCAGTGAACTATATTTCGTAATGAAAAATCCTAGAGGTGTAGGTGACAAAATCGGGTTCTTTACTCTTGTGACGTTCGTGGTACTTGTGGTAAGTTTGACAGGCATCAAATTACTAGTGGCCGCTTTAAAGAGTAAGCAGGCTTTTTGGAAAGCAATCGAAATAGATCCCAGTTGGGGTCCTAAAAATAAATTGCTTCGTCGGAGTAGAGCCCTATTTTCGGCTCAAGCTATGACCAAAGAGTATATCTACAGGCAATACCAGCTGCAAGCTGGAATACAAGAACGTCAAAAACGTGCCAACCTGCGAGTGAACTATGGTGATGAACTCTCCACAAATTAAGGCTGCGGCTCCAGAAGTAGCCGAAAATAATTAAAAAATACGCAACTGAATACTATTTCAATATGTTAACAGCAACACGTGAAAAAAATAGCCCAGTACAGAGCGTGTCAGTGGTAGTCCAATACTTAGGGCGCCATCAAACTAGACACTTGTAGAAGCGCCGCAACGACGTGTAAGTGGCGCTGCAGCCGCGACAATACTTATTACGCTTGTATAGTTCACGAACTACGAACTATTAGGAATATGTACACGTTCTTAATAGTTCATCCGTCTTTTTAGTTCAGTACCATCTAGGAACAGTCTGCGTTGATAGTTCACATGTCTTTTATTCAGTAGAAATGGTGCGAGCAGGACAATTAGCGATTTTTCACTGCTTTTAGTACAAGTTCGAGTGAGATGCATGACTGAACATTGCCAGCTCGTTTTAAATCTCTAATACGTACATTATGTATATATGTAAACTTGTAAAAAATTAAGTGCGCATATTTCTAGTAGGTAAGTATTTTATCTGTATGTATAATATCAATCTACATGTACATGAAATCGTTGTAAATATTAATTTTTGAGCACACCATTCTACCTAATTAAATTCCATTATTGTCTTGTAAAAAAAGGATTGTTAGTTAGAAGGACAGTCTTGAACCCGTAGGGTGTGAATCAAATAGCACCGATTCCATAAAAATTGTATTTTTGAATATTAGAAATCCGTAGTACGAATAGTTCATAAAATAACTAGTTTGGAACGTTCGTTCAATGTACGAGGAAGAACAAGACGAACTAAATGAACTAGAAGACCGACCTACTTCAGTTGACCGATTGAACTAGACAGGATCGCTCCCTTTATGGTCTAAACAGGCACAAGTTTACTCCTAATTTTCATACAATATTTAGAAGCGCAGCTGCAGCGCCACATTCGCCCCACTTTTCTAAACTACACTACACATACTACAAACACGCCGCTCCAGCGCTTCTTCACGCCTCTAATTTGAAGACGCGCTTAGGATTAAAATAATTTTATGTTTACACTATGAAATTGGAGATTGTTTGAATTCAATGAACTGATTATTATATTATAATAAAACGTCAAATACTTTTTTCGTGTTTGAAAATGTTAAAGCAATCCTTCTAAACTGAAAGTGTCTCTAACTCTTTTGTAGCGGACAGTATCAATGGGGTTCGGGTGCTATTGGAGTGTGAGCAAGACCAAAGGAAATATACTTACAGTTTATTAATATTTATTACAGTTTATTATTAATACACAGTTACAACAAAAACAGAAATAATAATGACAAATATTAAGGAAAAGGCGCCAAAAACAAGTACATTCTAATTTGGAATTTGAATATAAAAGTAAACTATTGAAAATACTGTTAAAATTCGCTACACCTTCGTCTAGGCCACCTAAGATATTGTTCAACGGAATGAACACACATGAACAAATCTATTTTCGTAGACTGAATACGGAAGTGAATCATTAGTCCTTGAAAACATACTGTAAGATTGATGAAATCACAGTTCAAAACGATGAATAGCAGAAAAACAAACTGATCAAGTGACTAGTATTTGAAAACGGGAATAAACCCGATTGAATTCATAGTAAGATTATTTTTACTAGGTGCTGTCTCGGCCAGAAATCATCGGAGCGCGATTGCAATATTGCGCTCTCTCTTCCACTACAAATAGGGTTACGGACCAGTTATGAGCACATTGTGTAACCGCAGGGCTGTGCATTACTGCAATTAGTAGTGTAAGTACGACCGGAAATAAAATATATTTGTTAAATAATGGTTAAATATAAAATTATAGTATTAAAAACCTAAAATAAGTAAAGTCACGAATGTGTGCGACATTAATACTTTTATTCTCAGTATCTTTAATTTAGGTCAAACATTTGAACTTATTATTGATAACAAAGGTGTTAAAATAAAAAAGGCTGCCACATTTAAACAACAGCAGATGATAAATTACTTCGCTGTTTTTATCGATAACGGGCTTGCTCACGCGTCTCGTACTCTCCACATTAAGCAAGTGGGAGAGAGAGAGCGCTATATCGCAGTTCCGCTATGATGACTTATGTCGGAGTCTGCAGCAAATAAATAATCTTACTATAATAGGTAAGTACCTACTTATGTTGCATATCTACCCTATTATCCCCATCTTTCGACCAGAGAGGCTAGCATGATAGGGCGTGACTTGCGCGAGAGGGACATAAAGAAACACCATTCTTGCATAGAGTATCTCGCGTTTTATGTCGCTCTCGCGTAAGCGCGCCTTGTCGTACTAGCCTTACAGCTTGCACTGGCCGTGATCACAGACTGATCAGTTATCAATGTTAGTATAATGCGATAAACGCGAAAGTTCAAAAGTGTATAATTATGGTCAATGATTTTTTTATACTGTATCAATTTTGTAGGACTAATTAAGTTTCAATGTAGGTCTTCTCTAAGGCGAAAGTTCATATATGATTATGTATACATTAATGAAAACGTATTCTCAATAAGGTCAAAACAAACATGCTATGTCAGTCACTGGCATACTTGAACCCTGTATGCTAGTAGTGCCTTGCAATAATTTAATGTGCAAATCAACGTACATCTACTTCCTAGGTGAAAGTACTTTGATCATTAAGGTCAGTTATAGAAGTTATTTAATTAATTCAATTATTATTGATCCCTATTGTAACTCATTCAACGGTATTACTTACAATGACATCAAACTTGGCGTAAATATCCTTGAGACGCCCCTCGGCGTCAACGAGCGGCAGCGCGGAGACGCGTCTGTTGACAAACTTGCTGAGAGCGTCTATGATCGACGTCTCCTCAGTCGCCGTCTCGATATCGTTCAACGTGCCGATGCGCACGTCTCGGAGCTTACTTTGAAGGTACTTCGGCTTAGGTAGCTCATTTATCTGTAAATAAATTTTTTAAATTTTACTGCCGTCACATATTGGTTTGTTAGACAAGAGGAGGGTGACCGGTTAGCCATTGCGGCTTCTTCCGAGGAGCCCGAGGTTGACATTGTGCCTGACTTCTCTGAAGGAGTTGCAAATTATAAGAGCAAGATTAATTTTCGCTCGAACAAATTTTTCCCTATGAGATCACGGAAGAAAAAGAAATCTGGTGCTACGAGATCATGATGTGTGATTGTCAGGCTTCCATCAGGACACGTTCCATTATTTTTTTTTATGAGGAGGGGGATCTCTCCAAATTGTGAAGTATGCGGAAATCCAGAGGTGTACATAATTTTATGGAGTGTGTTCGGACGGAATCTTTTAGGGTGCGATTATTTAATAATAATTTATTGTCAGACAACATGATCCATAATATTTGTTAGTAAAAGTAGTACTTAAGCTAGTGTTAATGTGAAATAATAATAAAAACATAAAAATAATTTTGTATAAAAGGTGGAGGACAGCGCAACCAGCCAATGCCTGGGCTATGGATTGCTAGCGGTGTGCGAACGCATCAACCGCCCCAGCATTGGGGACTCCCACCTATCTGCCCGTGTGTTCAGGAGGCCGTTCGTGCTGTGACGCATGCGACTGAATAGCGACGCGCTTCGCTTTCGTATGATATTTACACAGGTTGGTTTCGGTAATAATAATGTTGGGCGGTTCCCACCCGTTTCGTCTGAGCCAACAAGTAGTTCGAAGATTTTGTATGGTTATTTGATGAATTCTATTAAGCATTTTCTTGATATATTTAAGTTTTATTAATGGAACTGACATGTTAGGGACTGAAAGCCCCTAAATAAATAGTATCAATTTATTAAATAATGTCAAAAATGCAATTATAATAAAAATCATTATCAAAACAAAGTTAATGATGTTACGTACATACATACAAACACGCCTGTCTCCTACTGGGGCAGGCAGAGGCTATGAGCCTGTGCGCTCTTGGCATACTCCTTGCACTTTCTCCGCTTGCATCAATCATACGTATACTTAACACGTTTTAACGGAGAATTCTCCGTTAAAACTCATACGTATACATGATTATACAAAAATTTCAAATACCCTATTTATAATTTTACTTCCTTTATCTGATGCAAGTATTATATGCCTATACCTAGAAATGAAACCTATTGGATAAAATTAGGCTTACATATAGGAAGAGGAAACGCAATATCCTCTTGTGTGTAAGTATGTAGAGAACGTTGCCGGTGTCGGGGTCGATTACGGGCAGCCGGTGTATACGATTCATAATTAGAATGCGAATCGCGTCGTACAAAGACGAGTCCGGCCCGATCGACACTAGTGGCATCACTGACCCCTTAAGCACTTCTGTAATTCAAAAAAACACTAAATAAATAATGGTATTCTAGAATCTTATGATAAATGAGAACATTGAAAATTATTGTTAGTAACAATTACACGATGTAATTGGATGACAACAATTGGTGTTAGTTAATTTTTTTTTAAATACAAGTTGAGAAAATAATGTCGTATTTTATTTTAATAAGTGTATAATATTGCCATTACCACAAATTAAAACTCAGAACCAAGACAAATAGACTCAAAGTACAGAAGGATTTTCGTCAGGAATCGATTCTCTTACTCTGGTTGAGGCACGTGCCTGCCTAGAAGTGAGTTTCGTATGTTATTAATATTCAACATTGACTAGGAGGTGCGAGGAATCTCATCCGCTTCATGGCGGTATCTGCAGACCCAGCTTCCGCATAACTTCAAGTTGGATATGTGCTTAGTCAAGTCACGATGACCCGTGAGAGAGCGGGTCCGCATTCTGTGCCTCTACCATGAGATTACAATGACAGTTATCGCTAGCAACCGCGTAAAATATTTGTATACAAAATGTTTCTTCTAGTGACCGCTAGAGCGCTGTTTAATTTGTCATACAAAATGGTGAAGTAATTTACAAGGTCTCGCTAGCGACAACTGTCACAGTAATTTCGTAGTTGAGGCTCTGATGTCAGTCCTGCCCAATGTCACTTTTTTGCACTGTAGGCGTTAAGCAGAGCCCTCGGGTGTTCAAAGACCGATGATCCCGCAGGACGAGTTTTGTGATGTGATCTCAATGAATGGGTCGGATCCGATATTTCCTCTCTAGCATCAATGTGAAAGTACCCTAAAACCCAACGTAGTGTTTAAAACAATCACACAGTTCACAACGTATGTTTGAGAAACCAGCGCGTGTACAGCTGCTTGACTGTATGAATTTACATAACAACTATTTTCCTAATATCTCTCGGCAACATTCGGATCTCCGAATGCACAAGAATATAAATTTCATTGTTAGATTTATCATCTATAATAATAGCCTTCAGAACTACATACATTATTGCCTTACATCAGTGCATCTAAAAACAACATTTTCATTACCAGTATGAACGACGATTATACGCTCACCTATAAAAATTTATTTCTTTACACCTTTTTCCTTTTTATCTGTCCAACATTTCCCTTTTATGTGCGATGTGTGCACATTATATGATTCATCCATGCAGACAATATTTTTGGCGCAGGCCCTCACGAATCTTTTAAGGCGAAATCATGCTTTTCCAAAAAGACTTCCTTCTTACTGTTTGTGTATATCCATAAAAAATCTCTCCAATTTTTTAATGGTCCAGACAACCTCCAAACTCGCCAACCTCCAAACTCGCCAACCTCAACCAACTTCGCTTTTAAAGTCCTCAAAGAAGGTAGATCCTTAAAGCGTAAATTAAAGCCGTAACTCATGTTACGTATGACATATAGTCGAAAGCGGTATAGACCACCCATGTGACAATAGTGGTCGTTTAGGAATTGGACAAGGAACAAAGCCACATGTTACTGCAAGACTCGCGATTGCCTTGTATGACCAGGGGGCGTATTACGAACTTTTAAAGAACCATGCAAGATCCAGAAAATTCTATTTACGCCCAAAAACTGAGTGGATAAAATTCGTATTACGACATACATATTTCTCACTGACTTCTCGCTGGTTATTTTGTCTATGGCTGGGACTTGACTAGAACCTGCTTTTTAGTGTAACGTTCAAAAACATGGACGAATATTTACCGGTAAGTTACGGTGTTATATTTGCCACTTAGTTTAAGAGAAAAATAATAGATACGTATTATTCATACACGAAAATAAATAAAGACACTGACATAAGACACTATAATAATTATAATGGCCTCCACTGAAATAATCCCAATTGTTTTATCCGCAAATGGGTTAATTCCAGTCAGCCTTTCTAACAGCTTGAGGCGGTTGGATTTCTGTGGCGTGTCGCTTCCAGCACAAATGCAGAAGGCGGTCCTGCTCGATACGGCAAGTATTGTTCGCCGGTTTTTGAACCTGAGTCCCTGACCCCGGCCGACTGTGCCATTGCCGGGAAATACTGCCTCTCCCATTTAAAATTTCAAAATTAATCTTTTAGGCCTTGGGAGAGGCGAGAGTCTAAAATAGATATAATAATAATAATAAAGATACTATATAACAAAATCAATACACTATATTTTAATTTTTGTAAATAAAAGAAAACGCAAATTAAGTCTCCGAACGACGACGTCAAACGTCGATGAAATTCCGCGGGTAAATGTTTACAGCTTGTTGAAAACATGTCAATAATATTTTAAGAATATTTGACTATCAAAAAAATTGTAAGAAATTATACTTGGCTTTAGTGAAAAATAACCTTAGTCTCAACCAATATATCGGTAGATTTTGTAGGTCTCGAGGTGCGGTTTCAGTTCATCGCAATGATTGTGGACCATATTTTTGCTGAGCCGGTATCTTTTCATAGATTTTTGTGCATCCATTCCAAACGGATCACTACGATCTCGCAGTTGTCTTCTTTGGATTTTTCCATATTATTATCGTGTGAAGCATCACGTTTGAGACACTCAAACATTTCGTATTCATCACACATGATGAAACGATTGCAAAAAAATATATAAACTCAAAATTATAATAATTATTATACTATTATGCACAAAACAAATCAATAAAAGCTACACCAAGACACTGTAAACTGAATGGTTTATTGCTGTTACTTTTTGACACATCAACCGTGAACAAAATGTCAAAATAACGTTTGTGATCCGATATTACAACCTAGTGTCACGTGATCGCTGACTGGCTCGTATTACCAGTTTATAATACGAAATTACAAGGCAGTTTACTTTACGGCATAAACTGCGAGGAAATAAGAGTTCATATTATATCGTCAATTTTACTATATATTTTTTCCAAAGTGATTGATCCAACGCTTTCACTGTTATGCAGAATCAACACAAAACACCAAATGAGGTTGTATCGACTCTTAACATTTTTAGTTACGAGTTATCACTAAATTACAGATTCCAACATCGACAAGGGCCTACTCAATTAAATATATATATTATTTTGTCACTTTATCGTCTGTAAAAAGTTGATAAGATTACTTTACATTTATTATTAATTATATAAAATAATCCCCGTGCTTAAAATTAACGTGCCTAACAAACTTTGATGTTTTTCTTTCCCTAATACGGATACAAACGTAACGTGATTTTACATAATGGTGAATTTTCATAATGGACATAAATTTTCAATGTCGCACAACAAATCTTTAACTAATTACAATTAAGTAGATTCAAGATTACAGTTCAAGTATACAATTTAATTAGTTTGTTTATTCCAGGGTTCAAGCCATGTACAAAATCCATGTAGAGTGTTTCTATTTTCGCAATGTCCCTCGGCAAACTTCGTCTTTCGGCTGTCGTCGGGTTTTATTCAGTTGCCCTTTGCTTTTGGTATAGAGCAGACGCTTTCAGTAGACTTGGAAGTATAAAGTTGCTATTACATTTTTTATTTATTACCTAACAGGAGGAAAGTCACAAGCACGACAGACAATTTACATCGTGTACTTGTTCAAGAAAGACAACAATGGTTATTTTCAAAAAGTACAAAAAAGTGTTTCTGACTAAGAAAAAAGTGTTGTTTAAATATTATAATAAAGATAAATCAGTTCCTTTTCCTTTCCGTTACTATAAATTTCTGTTAACTTGCTTATTGACATGGAGTAAATGTTATTAAAAATGGGGAAATTCTTTTACAGCTCTATATAGTTCACACGGAAATCAAAACACAACAACGTAAAGTACGGTGTTCAAATACAAATTATTATAGATTTTAAATGTAATAATTAATGGGCATGGAAATTAATATTCGTGTGCATTCGGAAATCCGATGATTGCCGACAGACATTGAGAAAATAGAAGCACTGTATGATGCTATTTCTTAAATCATGTACTGTTAGAAAGGTACTTACGACGCCAAGTCTCAAGGCGGTGCTCTTCCAGCTCTTCCATAGCGACGTTGGGGCTGGTATAGTACATCTGCAGAATCTTGATGAAATCAGTGATAGTCAGCATGCCCACGAACCGCTGACGCTGAGAATCCCATAGTGGAGCAGCACGCACGCCTGCCCCCAAATTCACTTACTTATGAAAATGATACACAACATTATTAAAACAATTCATCAATGAGATTCTTGATATAATTCGCCACAAAAATCATTCGCCATTTAGAACAGATGCAAACATTTACAATAGTCGCTAAGAATAAAGTCCTACATCTTGGGAGGCAGCTCTTCGGGATCTCATTCTTGTGAAAAGAATCAAATGATCTACGTGTGCTCTGTATTCCGTTTTCCAGAAACACCGAATTTGATCGACACTGGCTAATATTAAGTAAGCAGTTTTTAACATTTCAAGGGCAAACTTCTGTGACAATAATAACTTCAACGAATTAATCCTACTCGTGTCTTCGGTGATACGTAACATTCCGAAAAACAAACCACTTAATGACTCTCGTGCTAAGTACGCGTAGCTATCCAAGTAACCTATCATCTTGAGGTTTTTATAATAAACTTACATGAATAATAATAAGACCTCTTCAACATATGCATAATACAAATGTGAATTTTTGGTACGTTTATAATAATGATATGGATTTTTATACAGTTTGCTTTAATACCTTATAGTGGAGATGCCACGAACTGAATTCCGTTCACTTACTTTTGACGTAAATTGTACATCTTAATACGCCTTGATCTGTATCGCGACTGGATGGTATTATTTAATGGTATTATTCAATGTGTAACACATGCAGAAGTAACACAAAACAAAATTACGCTTCAACGACACGATTGTGTTGGCCATCATCGTAACACTCACCCGGCAATACTTCGGCTAACGCAAAGCAGGCTTCATGTCACAGCCACATCGAAAAACGCTATCGAATAATAAATAACAAATTCGCTAAGCTGACAAATATTGTATAATTCGGTTGTGTTGTCTGTTGGGTTCTTATTTCTTTATATATACTTCAATTGTCTAAAAAAAATAGTAAATAACAACGACAATTACATTCTGTCGAACATTAGCACATAATTATCATATTGTTATCACGCAAGTCTAAGCAGATAATTGAAAAAAATATGAAAATGCGTCACCTGTGGTTTAAAGCCAGATCCAGGTGATATAAGCGATAAGCGCGGTAACAATCGTTTACAACTATGATAAATTCTTTTGACGCTCACAAGCGTTTATTTGTACAGCTGATACGTGACGTTACAAAGAAGAGTTACTTAACTGAAAGCGTTTGTGAATAATAATAAAAATCGCATAGTAAAAAACGACCGAAAGAAGGAGAGATGAGGAAAACCGAGTAAAAGATAAAAAAAAATTAATGTGGCATTAAACGAGGACGTCCAGGAAGGAAACATGGAGCGCTACTCCAACAAGAAAGTCACTTCTATGTACAACGAGAATGTACCAACCGTTGTAAACGAGGGCAAAGAATGCTTTCTTCACAAGAAGCTGCGTGTCGAAGACTACCAGCTTGGCAGACGTGGGGATCAGATCGTAGCACTTGTGGAACTTGAAGAACTTCACAAATATCTGGGACTCATCCTCCTCTGAAACATGCAAATATATTTGACAGTTCATAAACATTTTTCTAGCCAATGAATGTAAGTGTTGCGAAGAGTGTGTTTTTGTGTTAAATACAGCAGCCAATTATGCGTAATTAATAAAATCTCTAATAATACTCTGATAAGTTCCCATGCACATGAATTGAACACCGAGTCGATAATTTCGTTGCTTCATAGCATTGTGCTCTAATTATGGTGTCTTAGAATGCTCTAATCATTTAAGGAACTCAAAAGTATTTCAATATTTCGTTTTAGTATATCAGAAGCGCTTTTTAAATTTACATTTTTAAAGGAAACTGACTACACATTTATTAATAAATTATTATCAATATTATTATTGGAAAATGTCACATTCCTAGTATTCAAATCTTAATAACGATTCAAGCCAGGTTAACGTTTGTTTGAAGATGAAATTTTGTAATGGATTTCTAATGAAGTTAATTTTGACAATGTTTAAAATTATTAAAGTTCTAAGAATTTTTACACAAAAGTCTCCTCATAATTCGACACCTCATAGTTTTTCCAATTACCTACATAATTATTCCTTGTGAAAAAAATCTATTTTCTTGACTTCGAAAAAAGCCATACACATAAACATTTTGTAGAAATTATGAATCCTAATGAATCAATTAAAATGGATTGTATGCTTTCAAATTAAATGCTTAGGAACTTCTCTAAATGTTTCATTGTAATTCTTCGGTTTTACAAAACTAACTTTTCTGCCTGTTTGATGACGTAACCGCCCAGAACGAGAAATCAATTTCACAAGTCAATCCAACTTTTTAAATTTAGAAACATAGGCTGTTTCTGCGTGTGAGTCACTGTGGAATAGGGTGAAACGTCTTCACCTGTTGTGTTGTTTCTTTAATGGACATTTCAGTATTTTTAACAACTACACACATCAAAAGTGTCTAGGGATCAAGTGAATATTTTTGAAATAAAAATTATTTAAGCAATATTTACCAAATCCAGTCTTCCAGGACGACTTCTTACTTTAATGCTTATGTTTTATTTAACCGCTTACCCCAATATTTAATTAAAATAAACTAAAATTGATGTTTTTGCAAATTGTGGGAAAAACTCAAATTAACGGCGTCAATTAAATGACAAAAAAATGGCGAAAATGATGATTTTGCTCATTTTTATTGTAAAGATAAGAAAATTAATAATCTGTATTTCCACCATTAACACGAATCACACAATTACAGCGATTTGGCATGCTTAAGATGAGTTCATCAAAATCACTTTGAGGAATGGCCGCCCATGTGTTTTGTAACAAGTCAAAATATTGTTGTAGAGTATGTACGGTATGCATACTCGGCACAGCTCTTCTTTGAAACATATCCCATGCGTGCTCAATTGGATTGAGGTCTGGCGATTGAGCAGGCCACGGCAGAACGTCGATACGAGCTTCGGCAAGAATGCGTGTTACGACTCTAGCCGTGTGTGGACGTGCGTTGTCATGCATTAGTTGAAATGAATCACCCAACTGGCCTCGCAAAGGGATGATAACATCTGAAACAATCCTCTCTGCGTAAACTTGAGCATTGAGGTTACACCTGATCCAAATGAGGTCGGTTCTTCCGCCGATCCAAATACCGGCCCATATAATTATTTTTCCCCCACCATATGGATGAACTTCCTGACAATATCTCAAACGTTCATGACGTCCAGATGTTCTCCAAACTCGAGTACGTCTTGTATCCGGTCTCATACCGAAGCGGGATTCATCCGAAAAGCACACATAGCGCCAGTCTTCTTCCTCCCAGTTTCTGTGTTCGCGAGCCCATCGTAAACGGGTCCTGCGATTGCAGGGTGCAATAGGTGGAACTCTGAGCGGCCTTCGGGATCGCAGACCCACTTCACGTAAACGATTTCGGATTGTTTGACCGCTTATTAGCAAGCCTGAGGAGCTGTGGAGCCTCGTAACCAACATCATGGCGGTCATGGTACGATTCCGTCGAGCAGTATTTTGGATATACCGGTCCTGTCTGCGAGTCGTGATGCGAGATCGTCCTCCATGTCGCTCGGCCACGCTGCCCGTCATGCGATAGCGCGTCCAGAGGCGACTTATGACGCTCTGTGTAGTGTTAAGAGTGAAAGCCACAGCACGTTGCCTGGAACCAGCTTCCAACATTCCGACGGCTCGCATCATCACTTCTCGGGTTAAATGATGTCGTCTCTCCATAATAATGTAAATTGTTTCGGTTCCGATGCAGATATTGTAATGATTTTGTCAAAACGCTATAACTCATTTTTATACAAAACCACATTGACAATCGATTTTCTTCTTATTATCGAATTTTAAACAATATTCCTTATTTAAATGTTAAAACTCACTAAAAAGTATCAATAGCGATACAAAAAAGTTAATATAATTAACCCTAATTGCAGCAATACTCTTAAACGTACTTGATCCCTAGACACTTTTGATGTGTGTATATGTACAAATAATTAATAACTAAGTTACAGTAGAATCAGATCAATAACGAAACTCGACCAATTTTCTCAATCTATTAGACACATTTCAAATCAATTTTCAAAGTACCCGCATCAATATCATATCAATTTATGTTACCAAGAACTATTTGATTAACTCTCATATAATAACCACTAAGCAATCAATCTCGAGTTAGTTAATGTCGAAAATCATTAGGAATCGACTGTCGATAAACGACTCTAATTAATATCACGAGTGAGGCGCCTTGACGTCGAGTTGCGGACACTAGCCCGTTACACCAAGTACCAAGTACCAAGTATCACGAGTGAGTTACATAAGGTGCGTAATACTATGTGCGCTATATATACGTTGTTACAGTATGACCTATGGTGTTGGAGAACCAATATTCGGACAAGATTAAAACATCAAATTTAAGATTTTGTGAACATAACAACCTGTAAAGGCTTTTTGATATGCTTCCGAATTGTAGATATTCTTATTCAAGGTATTCTCTACGTAATTGTGGCATTAGACGTTGCTAGTGTACGTAAGATCAAGGATTAAGTTTAGTTAAGTTAAGTAAGTTTAGTAAGGGTAAGTTCTATGTCATTTACTGAATATAGTAAAGCTTAGGAGAAAGGACTCGAATCGTAATAATTATAACATAGCATACACTAGGCATCTGGAGATTTTGTTGCGATTATAGTTTACATTTCATTTTAATAACATAGAAGAGTAAATTACTTTTTAGTATTCAACCAACGGTTTTCATATGCCTATTTTTTTTATACCAAGTGACTGGACAAACAAGTCTTGCGCCTAGTGGTAAGCGACACGCCTGTCTATAGCAACCCTTCAAAATCGGGATGCAGTAATGTTAACGTTACTGCTTGGCGGCAGAAATGTTTAAGGTGGCTGTATTTCCCGGGACAAACTCTTTCACAAGGAGGTCTACTGCTACTATATGTATATGCTCTGCTGCCTATGTTGATGACTTGATAAATCATTGTATTTCACTAATTATCAGTGAATGGGAAACGGAATAGAGAGAGTTAATTTAGGTAAACTAAAGAAGAATGTGGACATTACCTTCTACAAATCCCAGAACTTCTCGGAACTGATTATATTTGAATATACATATTATTTATTAAAATGTGGCGTACATTGGCGAAAAATTATTATTTCCTGTTTGCTACAAATCATTGTCCCAAAAAATAATATTGTAGTAATGTTTCTATAGTTACTATACCTATTTAAATACTTTAATCATTTCAAAAATAAACTTGAGACAACCCTATGTGTTGAATGTTAAGAAAAAAAGTTAAAAAAAAAATTATACGTATTGATGACGAAATGGGTATGTCTTTACTAAGAAAACGTTAATACTTTAGGTAAGTTAACTCCCTCAATTCTATCACTGAAAATTATACAGGCTATCCTAAAACTTAATAATAAGCCGGTAACACATTGTTGCCAAATTTGTAACAAACAGCCCAGAAAAAAAATTTTTAAAAATCGTATTTTTTTTGTGAAATGAGCATACCATTAAAAAGTTTTTAAAATTACGTCCTGTGTTCAACATTTTTAAGTATTATGATTAAAAATTTGCAAACTTTACTGCTTTAATTAATGTAACGATAATCCAAATAGCCCAGTTAATGAACCCATTTTCAAAGAAAGCCCAAATTGCTAAAGTATCAGAACAAAAAATCAAATGCGTGAAACTTTTTTCTTGAATTTGTTAACCCAATTTTTTTAGGGTCACTTTGACACCTCATATTGTAAAGAAGTATCTGAATTCCAAGGCAATCATTACAAAAGTTGGCGTAATCAATCAAGATGATATAAATGTAAAATGATATAAAATAATAAAAAATAAAATATAAAAAACCTTGTACGTTTCACTAGTTAAAAAACTATAAAATTTAAAAAACAATCCTTATATTGGAAACGATTTTAAGAGCCGTAAAATAATGTGCTCGCAAATTGAAGAGCCGTGAGAGTGTTTAGATTAAAGTTTGTGCTGTCTATATGGTTGTGTGGATTCATATGTGCGTGAATTGTAAGAATAAGTGATTATGTAAGTGAATACGTATGCGTTAGCTGTGCAGAAACAATACGTCGTGTGAAATATATTTTCCTTTGGTAGAAGTTTGCATTGAAAGTCCAACAAAAGTCGTTGCTTGCCTATGGCAAATTTGAAGGTAATAAAAAGTAACACTTTTGTTTGCGACGTTAGATCCTTCATGTTTGCATGTTATATATAAAGGGATTCCCATGACTTCAGTGATCAGTTAATCTGGGTTAGAATCTTTCTTCATTAAAAACCCTTGATGCATATACGAAGCCTTGTTTCATATGCACATGCATCAGTTCAGCAACAATTGGCTTTATCTGGGATACGACGTACATTTTTCATTATCCAACAAAGTAAGGTAATTGCTAAATGTGGGTCTTATCTTGTGGCAATTGATACAGAGTGTTATAGAGTTCCTTTTCCTTAGCTGAAATATCCCTGATTTCACTGCAGGCACTACGAGAATAT